AACCTAACCCTAACCCAAACCCAAAACCTAACCCTTACCTTTATGTGACTCGGCTTTCTTTTTTTTTAATTTTATTTTAATTTTTAATTTTTTTCGTCGCGCTGTGATGACGTCAAATGCGCGCTTTCGTCGAGCGCGATTTTGTCCTCCGCGATTTTGTGGACCAGGGGTTGGGGATCCTGCGCGAGCTTACTTTTTCACAGGGCATTCTCAAAAGTGTACCACAGCAAAGATTACTGGATGAATGCATGTATGCCCTAAATTCCTGGATGAAAAATAATTTTGGGTGCTTACACCTACCCTGATTTATCTGAAATGAAATCAAGCTGACATCAGACCAAGACACCATTCTAAGCCATACTGCAACTTTGGGCATACAAATAAATTGGAATAAAATTCAGAACACACTTGGTTTCTTTTTAACATGCGAATCAGACACCGTAATATAAAGCGCATTCACCTGACTACTAAAACAACCCAGGGTTTGTGCCTGGCTTCTAAGAACCAGAATTTTTAAACTACATGTTTTGTATAGAAAAACATGTAGCACATTAAAAAAAAATGTTTAATTAAAAATAGGCATAGGTTAAAGTGTTCCATGATATTCCTCCTCCTCCTGTTGGTCCATGAGATAAAGTGATCATACAAATCAAAAACTTTCTCCAATTTGCATATGCACCATTAACATTGGTATGGTAAAGAAGTGTGTATTTTCAAGACTAAGTCATCCCTGGATTTTCATGACAAACAGAGCAAATAAAGGAACACAATTATTAACTAGATTTCAGAGTATTCACATTTCAATGTAATTTAAATAAGGTTAATATATTTATAGTCATTTCTCCCTTTTGTTACATTAGAAATTGCATTTTTTTTTAAAGGAGGGTGGTTCTCTCCATCAGAGGAAAAATTATTTGAAGAGGTGCAGGGGGAAACAAGTGAACTGATTCCACAAATCAGCACTCACACAGCTCAAATTTAAAAGGAATTCTTAGTTTCCCTACATTCGGAAGCGCCACAGATAATTTATTCCCCTTACACACCCCTCACTACTTCACAGTGGTATCAGCAGCAGCTTTTCATTTTAAGTAAGATATAATACCCAGTTTAGTTGGAATTCAAGAAAAATGTGATTGTGGGTCATTTTCGTTAACAAGATTTAAAGTGCAATTTAAGGAAGAAAATGTGGTTTCTTTAAAACTGGAAGTAAATCTTCCCCTTTGGATGCAAAAAGAATAATAGAAGCATGCAAAGGATTCAAACACGTGTGAGGATAAAGAGATTAAATGATATAGTATTCACTAAGCAAAAGTGCTAAAGGTGTATGTATGAAACGGTCATTACTCCTGTTTCCATACACTAATACTTTCCATACATCTATCATCTCAAAGAGAGGGGGGAAAAGAGACAATTCAGTATGCTATGGATTGCAACTTAACATATATTTGGATACCAACATTACAAAGCTTTCAGTAACAATGATTTATTGGTTCCACCACAAAACCACGGTAGACTAAAGCGCGTGTGACTAAAGTGCGGTGACAAAACCGCACCGTCAAAACCGCGCGACAACAGCGCGCCAACAACAGCGCGCCAACAGAAGCACGCTGTAACATAACCCTAAAAATAACCCTAAACCTATCCCTAAACCTATCCCTAAACCTATCCCTAAACCTAT